TGATTTAATGATGCACCAATAAGCACTTATCTGCTGCTGGTACTTTTGGTACAATTTGTGGTGCATAACAGTGGTGCAAAGGAGACAAAGAGAGTGTGTGTGTCCTTTAGCTGGAGGACCGGAGGTTACGCTGTGTTACTGCTATGGCAATAACATTTTTTAAAGCAGTGCAATCAAACAATCAATTACACAACATTAAAGAAGCAAACACAGCCTGCAGTGCATTTAAGTGACTTGGTGTTGAAAACATTTGTAGGTTTATTGATTTGACTTTGCTTTAAAGGGCACAGAGGCAAGAGTAGTGCCATGAAAAACTCTGTTCTTGACCAGGTTTTTTGAGTGGATAAAACATAACAACACCTCTCTGAAGGAAAAAGGTCATATAATAATCACAAACATTTACTAGCCACATGTTTCTGAAATATAATATCAGAAATTTAATATGTGGATAGGCTGAACAGTTCAAAGATTTTCAGTAAATCTGTGATCATGGTTTAAAATTTTCTGGCATGGTTTAGCGGATTCAGACTTTCTAGACAAGTTGGTTCACATAATAGTTTAAAATGTACTCATCTGTGCAATAACTGATATTTTAAACATTCAGTATTGATTTCATGTTAAAGCTGCTTTCCTGTTGATATTAACTGAAGGGTTAATTTAGCAGTTGTTTCAGATGACGATGATGTTTGGTCTTGTTGGTCTTTTATCACTTCTTTTCCATGAAGCATAGTTACTCTTGTTCTTTTTGCTCTTGTATTATTGTATTGCCAGTTACCTTCCTCACATTCTGAGTGTGAGGAAGGTAATTATTTTTGCCATAAATTAAAAATATTATAAGGTGATTTGACCACATAAATTGTGAAGAGAAATGTCATATTGGGACCATAAAGTATAATTTTACTGTAATATTTTATCTTTTCTTCCTTAAAGGTTATCTATTGTGGTAATTCCCATCTCCATATTTTTATTGTTGGAATCTTAAATTGGGCCTTGGTGACCTTCAATTCACATTTTTCAGAAATGAGCCGTTTTAACCCTTTAAAGCCGGTCAGAGCAGCACGCTCCGTTTTGCGTAACTATTTTTAAATACCTGTAGAACCGGAACCATGTAAGCTAGCGCAATAATTTTTTTTGCATATGAAACCAGAGGAGTTGTACTTACATCTTATGCTATCAGCTTGTCCTCGGTCACGGTTTCCTTCCACATATATCTTTGCAAAAACTCCATAAAAAGCACTTGCAGCAACAAAAACATAATATTCCAGAAACACGCTTTGCCGATCCGATCAGCTGTTTGTAACACTTCCTACGTCCATCAGCGCGAACTATCGCATGTCCTCCATTTCCTGCCCAAAACCGGAAGTGACGTCATTTTGCGGAAATGTAGTTTTTTACTATCAGGGCCTTATGAGCCTATACTGGTGTTTTTAAAAGTTATGTTTGACTTTATGACTTTCTGTGTCTTTTCTGGGATGCTTAGGACTCATATTGCACTGCTGGAAATAGTTTATTTTGATGCATATGCTGCTTTTTTTGCAAATTTGCATTATAATATTTATTTTCGTTTTTCCTGCAGTATATAAAAATTGGTGTATTTCAAAAATAAAACTATGAAGACACTCAAAATAAATTTCCTGTGGTGGGAAACTATTTTGTGAAAATTTTTTGTATTTACAGTTTTGAGGGATAAGCCTCTTAAATTTCTCTAAATAGAAATATATGTTAAAAAAACAAAAACGATTTTACATTTTTTTGTACTTTATTGCACTTTTTTGCAATTTATATAATTACTATGCACTTAATGCAGACATATTATTACAATTTGGGATATAATGGTTGTATTGATGTATATCAACTTGAAATGCTTCCAAAATTGGCCCTACAGCATGTAAAAATATAATATAAGCTCTGGCGGGCTTGGTTCTATGGTAGGTCTTAAAGGGTTAAGACCCTTCTATCTCCCTTTTGGCCAGCTTTGTTCTGATTGGTTGCACCTTTTAAACAGAAGGTTGGTGGGTGTTACTTCTGTGCTCACAGGCAAATATGTGTGCCTGTGCTGACCATATTAGTCCCATCCCCTTTTTAGTGATACCACACAGATATCCAAGAGTAGAAAAGTGTATAGCAAAGTCTGAACCTTTGGCTCACAGAGTGGACTACATACAACTTGCAAATACATACCTTTAGCTGCATTTAGTGACATCATTACTACCTTGGTTCAGTTTGCCTATTAGCAGAAATACTCAAAATGTTCTGGTTAGATTTGCATGAAGAGTTTTAACAGAGGTGAGTCTTAGCCTAGCTCAAAGTAGAGCCGACCAATAAAGACTGATACTGACACCGACACCAATATTTAGTGAAAAGTCTGATATTTTGGCTGAATTTTTTTTTTAAGTTTCCTTTCAGGCACACACAACATATTTCCCTAACATTTGTTATTTATTTTTTATTTATTTTTGCCTGACTCTGTTCAGGGGCCTGTTCTTCGTACCTCGCTAAGTAAGTTAGCTGGATTAGATTGTTGACGATTTTGCGTGATCCTGGATCGTTCGGTTCCCCGAAGCTCATCCGGGACTTGCTGTCATAGCAACAGAGCCGTAAGCGTAAACCTGCTCGGGAGCAGGTTTACTTTATGTAAACAGGATTAGATCGCGGCCACGCAGGTATGTCCGCTTCATTTATACGAAAGCAACAGCGATATTCCACCACTGTTTCACCATAAATAAATAACATCAATGTAACTAAAGATAATGCAGCACTTGATCCTTTTATTGATGTCACACAGATACATACAGGTCATTTCCTAAAAAAGGGAAATGAACTATTAACATTCTATCACATGTATGTGATTATTACAGATGTAATTCATATTTCAGAGTAGTAATTGTAAATTACTTCGTGTAATCAAGATGAGAGACCACGGCTATAAAAGCGAAGGTGGATTTGGGAAGCCTGTCGCAGCCATGTCCTGTCCGTATACGCGAGCCACCCATTGCGGAAGGTGCAAGATTGATAAGGAGAGTCCTCAGAATTCAGCGTATATTGCGGGACAGACAGGATCCTTTAGCTCAGCGCGACAGTGTGCTCATTGAGAGATATCGATATTCCCGTGAGGATATTATTTACTTAACCAACTTGTTGACGAGGGGGTGCAGGACCACCACCTGTCTTTTTTTCCTCTGCCCTTTTCTTGGTTGCTGTTATGAACAAACTAACAGAGTATTACAGGCCAGTATTACCTTGCCAAGAGACGAAAAGCAATCTAAGAGATAAATATTACCATTCTGTAGAATACTCCTGTATTCCACTTTTACTTGTTCCCATGTTCTTGTGGGTCCTGTTGTGGCTCTAATGTGAAAGGGGATATAATATAACATATTATAATATAATATAATGCCATATGATATTGGACAATATAGTGTCATATGATAGATCTACCCTACCGCCTACTGGTGTTGGCCAGAGGGGCCGATGGCGCGATATGGCAGCCTGGCTACAACCGTAGCTGCCTCCACCAGTGTGTGAATGTGGGAGTGAATGAATAGTGGTATCGTAAAGCGCTTTGGGTGCCTTGGAAAGCGCTATATAAATCCAATCCATTATTATTATTATTATTAAATTACCTACGAGTTTGATTTGTCAGCAACTTTCTGCCAGCCCTCTCTCCTTGCTTTTGCAGCCTTTGCAGTGTTCTCTTGCGTTTTAATTAAACTCTGAAACTCCTGAAATCCCTCACTCAAGAGTTCTTGCTCTGCTGCCGGAAAATACCAAGCACGCCCCTTCGACATTTTCGCCGACCAATCAGCGGGTTGCCGATCAATGTTTCTACTATCGATGCGTAGCCCCTTTTACGACACCCAGTGATGTCACATTCCTGCGTCCAGCTGTACTAATCGTCAACAGCAGGTGTGTTCGGGGAACCGGATTAGCGAGCTCACGGTTAGCGCGATGGTTTGGTCTTGGATGTGTCATTTGATCTTGGATGTAGTAAGCGACGTACGAAGAACAGGGCCCTGATCAGCTAGTTTTTGTGTTTGTGGTGTTCCAAACATGTCGGTAAGTTGTAGAGTGCCCTCTGGTGAGCAAGCATGCAGTATCTTTATTTAGCTTTTTTCATTGGCCTCTGTAAATGCTGGTACCGACATATATTCAGATCCACTATTTTTTTTTAATTTCATGTGTTTGCTTCCACGCCCTGTCTGACACATTGTGAAAAAAATCTTTCCATTTCCCTCTGTGCCCTTTTATTTCATCATTTCATTCAAAAACTTTGAAAAGACTGAAGATAAGCTTCTTTTTGCTTCTTTCCCCCCCAAGCTTGCACTCAACAGTATGTCCATTGCATGCATGGTTTACTGACAGGCCTCAGAGCAGATCTGGACGCTGTCCAGAGGTGCACGTGCATGGCAGACAGCAGAGATCGCATGTCTCCTCTCTCCTCAACAGCTAGACTAATTCTGCCCCCCCTCAGGATTTTACCAACTTGACCACTTTTGCATTAGAGTCAGTAGGCATTTAGTTTGTGCTCCAATTTCTTCTAAAAATAAAAACTTGTTTCCATCGTGACTCCATGTACAAGTGCTCGATTTCCATTCCCTGATTGCTCCTTATCTACATCTTATGGTGTTTGAGACCCCCCCCCCCCCCCCCCCACACACACACACACACACAGACATAGGGCATTTAACTTATTATTTACCATTGTTTGTTAGGCCCTTGCTGATTTATTGGCTCAACAGCAGTTTTGCTGAGAATAACACGATGCTCTGCTTTTTATCTGACTCATGCAATTTTCTTGATGCCCACACACTCACAAACTCTCACTCATACACACACACAGCTGAGTGTTAAGTGAGGCTTACATTCAAATGCTGAAAATGTTACATGCTCTTTGAGCAAGAGCACACAACTTGTGTAGTGTTAAAGCATTTTACACACTGTATTGTGAGATTATTTTAATTTTTTGTTTATTTAACAATCACCATTTCTCTCCCCTACAGGTGGAAAACCGACCTAAATACTATGGCAGAGAGTAAGTTGGCTTTCTCTGTAGTAGTAGATTGTGTTAAGCACTTTGTGTCATTACATTATAAACAATGAGGATTATTTTCAATTGGTATGTGGATTTTTCTTCATTAGATTCTTCAGTTTATCAAATAAGCTTACATTTAGCTATTTTTGCATCCAGGTTCCATGGGATGATCTCAAGAGAAGAGGCTGACCAGTTACTGAGTCAGGCAGAGGGCAGCTACCTCATCAGAGAGAGTCAGAGGCAGCCAGGCACTTACACACTGGCTCTAAGGTATGCTAGTTTGGGGAGACAGAACAAACATGAGCTTATTGGCAACACTAGATTTTTCAAAAAAACCGAGAAGAGCATTCTGGAGTAAGAGCATTGTCTTTAAGTGATGACGGGATGGATCCTGCTACTAGGCCCAAACTACTATGGCTGTTGTGTTTTTAACATGTTTTAATGCTTTGCATCTTGTTTTATTTAATCTACAAGCACCTAAAACAGTCAGTGATCACTGTCAGCCTCTTTCGGTTTTTATTACCGCTAATTTTAAAGCTCAGTTTTTAAAACCTTATGATGTAACTACAGCCCAGGCAATGCAGCAGTATATTAATGACTAACCTTGTATTATGGATGGATTTTCTCACTTGTTCTCCTGACTGAAGTTTGGTCCTTTTACAACATCCTGCCATGCAATTGCATTTGTCCCTAACCATCGGGAACCCTCACATTAACTTCTATTGAGTGGAAAAAAGTTAGCGTTTGTCCTCCAGCTTCACTGTTTATATTATGCTAACATAGGTGTGTCGGTAGCGATTACGTAGCACATCATTAGCTAACACATACCAGCTATCCCAATTTCAGTAACCCTGCAAAAGTCACTGCTGTTTAGTTTTCTGTCTCCATTTATGTTGGAAGTGATAGCAGAGCTGTAAGTTTTACCTTTTCTCTCAGTCAGAACATGCTATATTATATTTAGATGGAAACTAGCAAGCTAACTCCCTGGTAACTTCTAACTCCGTTAAGTCACACTGATCATTTTATTACAGATGAAAGAATTTAGACAGTTTTCAACTCTCAGTGATGGTGCAGTGAGCGCTTGACTTTGGGACCTGCAGCGTAGTTTGGGCCCAGACATAGCTAATGACATCAGACTTAAATACTGGATGGAATGGGAGCATGAAGGGAAAACCTTCAAATCAAGGACAAACAGTATCCCACATTCTTGATTTTTAGTTCACAAACACTTGTTGTAATGACTAACTACTCCTGACATTTTGGAGATGTTAGCTCTTTATACAGTAAAGTTACAGTGGGATACAAATAATATCAGGCTGATCCTGCCATGATTTGTTCCCCCGGTTCAAATCACAGACAAACAGGATCCCACAGCTGTTTATGTGTTTAAACCCATTTTGCACAGAGAGGCATTTTTTGAAAAATGTACTGATAGCAATGTTGAATATTATTACACAGTAAAAAAAAAAAAAACTACAGGTAAAATAATAACACCTCTGCCTTTCTAAATGGAGGGACAGTAACTGTGTGTGTATATGTAAGCATGTAAAACCTGAAGATAATCAGATTAACAGTATTTTGTTTCTATCTGCCATTCTGCAATTCATCTCATGTAAACAATAACGTGGCGCACAGCGCGACGTGAAAAACATTTTTCTTGTAAAGCAAAGGGGGGCGGGGGGGGGGGCTAGCAAAAAGAGTTTGGGAACTACTGCACTAATATATAATATATATTAGTGCTGTCAAACAAGTAAAATGTTTAATCTAATTCGCCACAGGGTTACTGTGGATTCATTTTGATTAATCATGATTAAATATCATTCATTTTTATTCAATATTAATCACATTTCATTTTGCATGATAAAAACAGACCCCAGAAAAATGGGAAAATATATGCACTTAACATGTTTATTGAACATCTTAAACATTCATGTTAACAAAAAACTCTGTAAACATTTATCCACTCTCTCTGTCACTCTTGGAGAGGCACTTCAAGTCCTTGAAACGAGGAACCAAAGCTATGTAAAGCGCTTGTTCTCAACGATATTAATAGGTCTGCAGTTTGTTGCAATCCACTTAGCAATTGTGTCAGTCAGTATTTCTGAGGTAGACTTACTCAGTCCCCGATGCTCCGTGAGTGGTTTGTCGCAAGCTGGGTGACGCGTTAGCCAAGGTCCTAGCAGAATCCCCGACTAACGTATGCTTTGCGTCAATGTACTATTTTAAGCTGGAAGTGCTTCGGTGAAAGGAAAATTCCTTCTTGCCCAATGTGATAGTACATTATGTCGGTCAACTGTTCCGTCTTGTTATTTTTTTTAATACTCAAATTTCCTGTTGAGAGGATTGGATAATAGAAGAGAATGGATGGATGGAGTATAAATTGAACCATAAAGGAGATATTTTATGGTTTATGGTTTAATTTTATGGACTGCATGTGAGCACAGTTCTGTTGGTTGAAAAAAAAACCCTCTCTGTACGCAGATATGCAAAGGGACACAATTGCAGTGCGATACATAAATCATAGCTCTAGTACCAACCAGAATCTCTACATGATCAAATTTACTGAAAGGAAAAGCTGTAACCTCAAAACTTCCATCATTTGACTGCCTTAGCTCTGTGTTTATATAAAGTTTAGCTACTAGCTATTAGCCATCTGCAGTTCTACAATATTTATAGCTATCAGATATCCATGATAGAACTAGAGTATTATGATCAAATATTTACATTTTGATATATGTTGTGACAGTGTTTTCAAGGCCTTTCCCCCTTATCGGCCCTATTCCCATCTCAAAGCATAGTGTAAACTATATTGATACAGTATCCAGTGCCAGAGTGAGAAGAAATACAGACACAGAATATGATATTAACTACCAAGGCTACACCTTTCTGTCTGTACAAGCACACATTTGTGTGACAGTGCATGCTGCTTTTTAAAGCTTGTCTAATTGTGTTCAGGTGCTGTAAGGTGTGAGGATTTATCTCTGCAGTCAACCTTTAAACAGCTCAGAGGAGCTCAACTTTACGTGCACATGTTTCCTCACAGCAAGGCTTGTGAAAGAGTGAGAGTAAGCCTGTTAACAGTAAGGCTTGTTTCTTGTTTTCTGTCAGTTTACCCGGCTGCCCACACTTCGCTGTTAGTTTTACTTGACTGTGAGCTATCATTTTCTCAGAGTAGGTGTCACACTTTTAAATGGGTGCATGGCTTAATTTGAATTTAGTTTTGGGTCAGTTCGGTCTATTCATAGCTGTGTCATTTTTTTTTTTCCACCTGCGCAACTGTTCTCAGTCATTTACTGTCCCTCCTTACCCCTGTGGTTATAATTACCTTCCATAAATACCCTTTCATAAACTTGAGTCCCAGTCTGAGTGGTAGAAAAAAGAAAGGTTGGATTTTGGGTTAATGATTTAACAGTGCTGCTTTAATCTCATTGTGATCCGCTGAGGAAGAAATAACAGCGCACGTGTGGTGGCCCAGTTCAAAGTCTGTGTGTCGATTAGAGTTTGTGCCACTCTTTTCTGGCTCCGTGTTAGCGGAAAGCAAAGCTACAGGATTTTAAATTGGAGAGAGTAACGACATGTTTTGCAGATAACCTCAGTTTTTGACCCTCGACTTACAAAGACTGGCAGATACAAGGTTATTGCTATTTTATAGGCCCTCTCTTATCAAAATTTGTCAAGGTTTGAGTCAGACCCTGAGGATGCATTAATTGAAAAAAAATTCAAGGAAAAGATTTAACATAAATTTTGACTTTCAAAATACCGAATAACAAAATTTGCTCATTTCTTTTCTCTGCAGGTTTGGGAACCAGACAAGAAACTTCCGTCTCTACCATGACGGGAAACACTTTGTTGGGGAAAAAAGGTTTGAGTCCATCCATGACCTCGTCACAGATGGCCTCATCACACTCTATATCGAGACAAAGGTGCGTTTTTGCATTGATCTGTCCTTCCTCCTGCTTTCCTTATTTATAGCAGTCCTGTTCAGCAGAGAGACATAAAAGCCTGTGATGCCTCAGTATGAATTATGGATGGGTATTTGTCAGAATGGCAACATTTCTCAAAAAAGTTTTACTGTCTTTGACAGGTGTAAATCCATCAGTTTGAGACATATTTAATCACTTTCATGATCATGTGAACACTTAAATTCCTTAAAAAGTCACAAAGACAGAAGGAAAATTGAAATGCCTTGATGCATGCTCAGTCATCCTGGTAAAGAAATCCCAGAAAGCTGACTCTGTTCATCTGGATGTATTGTGAGTGGGAAAAACGCGTCATTATTCATTCAACTGTCTTATTCAGTCTCAACTGAACAACCTTGACCAACCCAACCTTATAAATGGTATATTTGCATAATGACCCAAATTAGCAACTAGTAAACACTGACTAACAATGGGCCGTCAGATCAGTTTTATGATCATTGATACATTGATATGCAGATTGTAATGACGATCACATTGACAGTTAAATCAAACAACCTCTAGCTAAGCAGATGGCACAGTCCAGAAGAGCTGTCTCATTCGGCCACGAGTCTCCAGTCTGTTTCCAACTAGAGACCAGTGGCCAGTCTTTCAGTGATGAAGTTGTACACATCCTGGACAGGGAGAAACGTTAGTTTGAGTGGGGAGTCAAGGAGGCCGTTTCCGTGAAAAGGGAAACACCTACTCTGAATCAAGGAGGGGGCCTATAAGTATATCTTTCATCATTTTAAAATGCTGTGATTGCAGCCATTCCCCAACTCTCTGTGAATGGAACTCATGGTCATTGATCAGTGATCATGAGAATTTGCATATCAACGATCATGAAACTGATCTGATGAGCCATTGTTAGTTAGTAGCGCTAGTTTCAGTCATTGCGCAAATGTACTTTTTATAGGGTTGAGGAAACCTGCAGTCAGCATGAAGGAATCACTTAGAGAGAAAATTCTACGTCCAGATGAGCAGAATTCAAATCTCTTTCAGAAGACAGAAGTCCCATTATTTATTATTTGCTTATTTCAACTATAAAAAAAGTGTCTCAGGACACAAAACATGGATAATGAAGAACATTATTAGTTATAGTTGTGGGCCAGCTAAAGAAAAATTAACAGTAAAAATGTAAGGTTTTAGGGGACACAGAAACACTGAACTTCCCATAGACTACCTAAACATAAGTTGGAAGAAGTCTATAAATCTAAAAACGGGGCCAAATCTATAGGTAAGAGGCAAGATTTTATTCCCTGGAAGCCAAAAAAATTCTCTGCTGCCTTCAGAGATACAAAGACAAGGCAACAGTTTCCCAGATTGAATTTACAGGGATTTAATTCTCTTCTCAGGCAGCAGAGTACATCGCTAAGATGACCATAAACCCTATCTACGAGCATGTGGGATACACCACTCTGAACCAGGAGCCCACCCTGAAAAAACACCTCCCTCACAGCCAGGAGGAACCTGACGGACCGACTCCAGCCAAAGATGACCACAACACAGAGGAAAGGGTGAGGACAATCAGTGATCTAGATATCGTATATCCTATGAGCGTGATGTCATTTATCTGCTGTAAGATGCACCAAGTTTGACTTCGTAATTATTGTTCAGACTTGTCCAAAACCTTTGAATAGATCATTCAGAGGATCTATACTTTAGAGCTTTAGAGGGTGAATAATAAGAATGATAAACTTTAATCTGTAATCACAATGAATACAAGTCAATATTTTCTGGGCTTATCACTTCCTACAAGAAATGTCGAAATGTGGGTTTTTAAGAAGGATCTTGTGTAGACACTCTGGAAGATGCTTCTTAAAAACATGTTCCTGGCAACTGACCTGAAGGCCTTGGCGGGGGATTGAATAAGAAATGTTGGCTGAAGTTTACAGTCACTGAGATGAGTCCTAGTTTTTTTCATTTTAATCAGAGGAGTGGCAAAGGATGAGGACATTGGAGTCTACACTGTGAAGTCCAGACATGTGGGATAATTAAAAATGGAAAAAAAAGAAATGTATATATTTTGGTTATTTGCTGGCTTAGTAGCATAATGTATACATTACTGTATGTACCCTATCTCCTCGTTAACGGGTCGTCCAATCTGAACTAAACTGTTCACAAGCATGGTCATACATGCAGTGATTATCATTTATTCACCAAAATTTGTATTTGTGACAGAATTTCGTTTCACTCACCTCTAAATACTGAATTAAGACTTTTGAAAAGTATCACAGACTTTGGTTTCAGATAACACGACTTAATTAATTACTGTTAATTACACTAAAGCGCTGCATTAATGTAAATCTGTTACTTTAGGCTGGTCCAAGCAATGCAACAATCCTCTAGTACATGGATGTCAAACATAGGGCACAGTGGGCAAATTCGGCCCTGCAAAAGAATTCAATCTGACCTGCCTGACAGCTTTGGAAAATGTGAAGGAAAGCATAAATTTTGGGTGTGTAAATGTATTTTAATAAGTTGTACAGGTTTTTCCTGTTGATAAAGACCTTTTCAGATGTCTGTATGAATCCCATCACCTCTTTATCAGGTTCGGCCAATGTGCAGTGTTAGGTTCTCCATTTGTGTCCGTTTCAAGTTGCATGTTCAGCGTACGTCACCTGAACGCAAGATAATGGTCGCCAAAATTTGTATCTGCAACAGAATTTTGTTCAAGACTTTGAAAAAGTGCAGCAGACCATTGATAGGGCGTGTTTTTCCTAGCTATTTAACCATTTTTGGTAACAGTGTATACAACATGGTAATAAAAAGTTCTACATTTCTGTTTCAGTTTAACAAGTGATAGTTTAGTTCATACTGGATTTATACTGTGAGCAGTATGAGGTATTATGTAATTTCTTAAAGTCTCTGAACCTTACCTGTGTTACTAGAGGTTATAACATTCATAATGCCTAATGTGAGCGTATATACCACCAAAACGTATAAATGATAAACACATATATCTAAAACGATTAGGTCTTTAAATGTTAAGAGACCACGTAGAGAATTCAAATGAGCAGAGGAAAGTTGGTGTAAATGCAGCAGCAGGATAGAAGGATGAGAGTTGAGGAACATGGAGAAAGAAGGTGAAGAAAAAGAAGAAGGAGGCGGAGGATGGATGCAGAGGAGAGATGGCCTCCAGCCAAGGGCTCTGCAGTAAAATTACATAACAGCGGTTTGCCTGCAGAAACCTGCTATGTCCCAAAAGCTACGAAGTATACAGGAATCAAGTTTGTTGTCGGCTCATTAATTTTCGTTCAGATGTGAATTAATTAGTGTTAAAGCAGGAACTGAGGGGAAACTTTTTTCCTGTCGGTCGCGGTTTTTTTCTCTTTCTTTTTTTTTCTTTCTTTTTTTTTTTAAATAGGAAGATGCGAGGTTTCTTGGTCATCTTGCTAATGACTGAGCAACTTCTAATGCAAATTTCAGTTCTGCAACTGTGAGTTTGTGCTGATGAGTGCATGCAGCTGCATTCAGGCTTATACTACAAAACCCCCAAGACCCCTGCATACACACACAAACACATACACACAATAATATAATCCAGTTTCCACACACACACACAAACACCCACAGTGCAGTATGTTTATCTGCTAAACCACTGCTCAGCATCATGAGGCCTTATGTGACCTGCAGTGCATGACCACCTGCACTGCACCTCATACATCACTGTGTGTGTGTGTGTGTGTGATGGGGGTAGTCCTGTGTACGTGTGTGCCTTCATAATTGGGTGGATTTGCAGACAAAGCAGTACGCCAGTGACATTGAGACCAGAGGCAGCTCACTGTGGGAACAACAAACACGAGAAGGAAATTCGTATTTTTTTTCATGCAGCTAATCACCTTTAGTTACGGGGGTTAAACTCTGTTTTACTGTGCCTTTGAGGGCGATTCAGACGTGCGTTTTTAAACATTAATTGTTAAAGCCTTGTTATCAGATTGAAATCACTGGACGGTGAGGTGAAATGTGGCGGAAAAATAAGATTGCACTTTTTGGTCTACCTGAGAAAATGATAGAAAAACTCAGTAATATCCGGTGACTTTTAGCTCTGCAGATTTTATCTACAGCTGTTATGGTTCTTCCTTTTCTGTCTTTTTTTTTTTTTTTGCCCTTTTTGCATCTGACTGTGATCAAAGTGCTCTTTTGTGCGCCAACCTGCACCCCGCTGCATTCAGCACAGTGACAACAGTCATTAAATATCCATGATCAGTCATACATATTCACTGTGTTGTGTGTATAAGCTGAGAATTAATGAAGTTGGATGTGCGGCAGCTTGTTTTAATTGGATTTGTGATGAAAAAATCCACACGTTTCTTTGGTTATATCTATCTGTGGGACCATAGAAAACACACAGCTTGTAAATCTTACATATTCTTTGCCCAAAAACAAGTCGAAAAAGAGAAAACATCCCCCTTCCCAGAGGCAGTACTTGACAAGGGACGTCTTCTAAAGTGCACTTAAGTCCAGACTAAACTGCTCTTATATAATGTTCCTTATGTGGCATGAGACAATGGATGCAACCCAAGAGCAACACGAGGACACAAGGTTTGTGTTTATCTGTTACCGCCGGGTGTATAAGGCAGATACAGCAGCTCCTAGTTGTCATAAATACTGGAAGCTTTTAGTGGAAAAGCATCCAGCTGCTGCAGGTGGAATGACAAAGGAAAACGGGGGGAAACAAAGAGGAAGAAAAAAATGTGAAGGAATGAATGAAACAACATATTGTTTCTCAGCTCGTTCTCCCTCCTTTTCGCCGTCTCTCCTGGGACCATCGAGGTGGCAGAATTGGTGACGAACAACAAGAAAATGCAGCATCCTGATTGGCTCCTTCCCCTCTCATTGTGACCTGTTAAATTCATCCATTGCTGCACCGTAGCTCAGCTTACTCCCCCCACCTTCCTCCTCCTCTTCTGGCTCTCTCCGCCTCCCTCCCTCCCAAGCGCTGTTTCTGCCTGGTGTAGAGGATGGGGAAAGCGGATTAACACACACACACACACATATATACAGAGCCATGTGGGTTGACGCGTTCACCTACACGAGAGCGAGACACAGGAATTCTGTCGCATCAGGATTTCACAAACACCTTCCAAGGAGTGGAGATTTATTGAGTTTTATTCACTGAAGTTTTCAGGACAGATTTCTTGTTGCCTGCCTGGCTTTTTCTGTTTGTTTGTTTTCTGTTTGTTTTTTGTTTTTTAATGAACTGGAATTGCACCATTTAACCCCATCAGTATGCTGCGCTAATCTGATTGGTTGATCTTTGTGGTTCTAAGACAGCAGGATTGGTCCCATGCTGGCTCCTCGGTTTGGGTTGTTGTTGTCAGATGGAGCTGTGAGATGATTTAGTATAGTTGTTTTGCTATTTTTTTTTTACTTTATTAATTATTCTGGGATTTTTTTTTTCTTATGTTATTTATTTATTTTATTTTAAAGCAGCCTTTAAGAATAATTAAATTTTTCAGCAGGCTGTTTGGTTTATTGTTTTAATCAGTGGGATTTGAACTTTGTTTTCTTTTATATTATTTTTTCTTTTTCTCTGTTGATCCCACAATGCCGAGCCAAGAGTCGTATGTTGTTAGGAGGGGTAAAAAGAAGTCACGCAGGCGAGGCGAGAAGGAAATAAGTCAGAAGGGCTCTTTGTTTACTGCCGCGCTCGCCTTGAATGCCAGTGCTGGTTCAATTCCCTCCTTGCCACTCTCCGCGGGCTCCTCGGACCCCAGTGCTGCAGCCAACCGGGCAACAGCCCCCTCCAAACCCACCTCCCCTGCTTCCACTTTCTGGCATCCAATCCGATCTTTTGCCCTTTCACAGCTCACATCACTGGTGCGGCGGGCCACCCTGAGGGAGAGCGACTTGGCGCCCAAGTACGAGAAGGTCCACAACTTCAAGGTGAGACACTCCTTTGCTCCCCAAATCCTATTTATGTGTGTGAGTGTGCTGCCAGAATCGCTGATTCAGCTCGTGGGGACTTATTCAAATTCACCATAGAAGGCTTAGAGTGTTAAGAAACACACACAAACGCACACAGACACACACAATCTTCATGTTTTCAGCCTTTGTTTACTTTTAGATTCCCGTATAATGATTTTGTGTATTATTAGTGAGAGGCACAACAGAGCCACAGTGTCCCGAGCTCAAGAGAAATGTGGACAGACACACACACAGACACACAAAGAGTACTGCGATGTGATGGAGGTTATTAGCATTTCATTATACAGAGCCAATTTGTGCAATAAATGAGCAGATTAAAACTCTGCTCTCACTATAAATTGTCTCTGAGCACCCTTTCAGCACTCCTGTTGTGTCTCCATCAGTCTTTTGTCAGTCTCTAATAAAGGTTACTGCTGGTATTCAGGTATTACTTGACCCAATCTGGATCATATGAATAATTTTTCCACCCTTTTCTCTCAAATATACAATTATTGGCTATTTTGACTGATGTGTTTCACTCTTTTTATTTTTTCTCTGACCCAATCTGCTGCTGTTTAATAATTATTGTGGCAAATATAACGTTTAAACACATCGAGTTTGTCTTTTTTTATGCCTATTTAACCAGGTTCATACATTCAGGGGTCCCCACTGGTGTGAGTACTGTGCCAACTTCATGTGGGGTCTCATTGCTCAGGGAGTGAAATGTGCAGGTAAGTCACAAACAAACAAGCACATTCCTTCTCGCCATAAAGTAATTTTTCTCTTCCAATCATGATTCAGTTTCCAATTCTTTCACTCGTACTTTCTGTCTTAAAGCATGACTCGAAAGTAGGAGAGCAGGCTAAAGTTAATCACTTTCACTGTTGTTGACTCATCTGCGCCGTTTCATGGATTTTAAAATGTTAAAAGACTGGCTTGGGTGCCAAAGAACAAGCTGTCAGTGTGATCACTACTGCATGTGTGGGTGATTGAACTGGGCTTCTGCAACGCCTACATTTAAAAGCAACTTTCATCATGCAGTCTAACAATGACTCTTAAGGATCATCACAAGTAAAATAAAAAATAAAAAAACAGAGATGTCTAAAAATGGACATAAAGTGACATAAAACAAAATTCTGGGTTTCTTTGTCAGATTGTGGGTTGAACGTCCATAAGCAGTGCTCCAAAGTCGTACCCAACGACTGCCAGCCAGACCTTCGGCACGTCAAGAAGGTGTACAGCTGTGACCTGACAACGCTGGTCAAGGCCCACAACACCAAGAGGCCCATGGTGGTCGACATGTGTATACAGGAAATTGAGGCCAGAGGTGAGAGAAAGAGAGCGTGTATGTGTGACTCAGAGATTATATAACAGAAAAAGGCTTTTAAGTATTGTTTGCAGCAAGGTTAAGAGAAGTAGGGGGAGGAAAGGAGAACACCCACGAGGCTGGCGTTCATACACAAGATGCGATTGCCTTTGTGTGTGTCAGCCCACCCACTCAATGCTAAAAAGATGTATGCAGGCAGCTTCATCTGTGAATGTAGGTGTGTGCGTGTGTGGAGAGTGACAGTTTTCCCTTCAAGACAGCTGCCGCAGACAGCATTTTATTGATGACTTGAGTGAAATTAATACGTGAAATCAATAAAGACTTGAAAAGATTGAACTTGACTGGAGCGAGAGAGACAGTTGAAGTCTTCACCCCACGCTTTATTTCTTTCTTCTGCCTTCACATATGTTGTGTTTGTGTGTGTTTAATAATCATTTTTGCATCCATTTCAGTTGTATTTGCTAATAGCAGGAAAGAAACATAAATTTTATCATTTCTTTAAGACATAAATAGAAAACATTCTCATCTGAGAGGCTGTACACTGAATTTTTTTTAGTTGGTTATGCAGAATTTAAGCTTATCGTAGTCATCAAATTAATATTGGTATGATTTAAACCTTCCAGGTCTTCAGTCAGAAGGTTTATACAGAATATCAGGCTTCAGCGAGCTGATTGAAGACGTTAAACTGGCCTTTGATAGAGGTAAGTGTCGCCCCCCCAATGTTCCATAAGCAGGTTCTTTTGCCAAATCAATTAAATGTCATGCGCACGATTGTTCCTCCACAGACGGAGAGAAAGCAGACATATCCTCAAATGCTTACGAGGACATCAACATCATCACCGGAGCCCTCAAACTGTACTTCAGAGAGCTGCCCATACCCCTCATCACGTATGATGCCTACCCACGCTTCATAGAAGCTGCAAGTAGGTCTTAACGTTCAGGCTTTTAACCACAATTTACCTTAAAACTCAAAGATGACTTGTTCAGGGTTATAGGGAAATAAGCAACAAAAGGAGTCCTAGACAACCCTCTCTTTTGTAGGTCACCAAGAGGCAACTCTCAGTCTGGATCCTCTTTAAATTTTAATTGAATACCCCTGGTTAACATCAGTTAAAATTGTATGGTTACATTTTTAAACGATGTTAGCCAAATGAAGGCGGTTTAGACACGCCAGTATTCACTCTCATGAGACTTCTAAGCTTCCTATTGGAGAAATTTAGGTTTCTGAAATAACTGTAAAAATTTAAACAGATTCAATAAAACCTTAGTTAGAACTCCTGAAAACAGACTGTTAAATAGAAGATGGACGTAGCCACCATTGGTTGTTAAAGTTTATGGAACTATGTCATCTTGGTTTTTGGGGAGGTGATAATGTGGTATGGTTGGTTTGCTTATACTTTACCCAAAGAGTATCTATTACCCTCCTTAACAGAAGTCTATGTCTGTTCGGGCTGTTTCTTGAACAGAAATTATTTTAAAGGTACCTAAATTAAACCACACTTGTATGATGCTGGCTAAAAATATTCTCATCACAGACCTGATATTTATTATTTAATATTTTTATTTTAAAGGCCAAAATCTCTACATAGTGGGCCCCAAAATTAAAACAAAATTGTAAATTACACATACTTAAAGCCATAGCTTGCTTTATTTTTTTATTTTAGATCAAATGTGGTAAATTACCATAGAATTTCATTAAAATAATACTTAAAACTTGTGACAAAGGTCATAAACTCATTAGGAAAATATTGTTAAATCAAATGAGACTTGAGGTCTTTTGTTTTTTGTTTTTTATTTCTGAAAGACATCTATTCAAAATATTGATCTGGAGGCTAAACCTATCATTTGTATAGATGCACTATCTCAATATTTTCGTGTGTGTGTGTTGTAGAAATAACAGACCCAGAGAAACGACTGGAGGCCCTCCATGAGGCCTTGAAGCTGCTGCCACCAGCTCACTGCGAGACGCTGCGATACCTCATGGGTCACCTCAAGAGGTCAGACACACACACGAGCAGTTGTTTTACTTTGTTACATACTTATTTCTTTGGTATCTCCATTATTATTTGACTGTTGTTTTTACATATTATATAAATTGGTCTCTTTCTTCATTCAGAGTGACACAATACGAGAAGGAGAATCTCATGACTAGCGAGAATTTAGGCATCGTCTTCGGCCCAACACTTATGAGGGCGCCCGAGCTGGACGCCATGACGGCACTCAACGATATCCGATATCAGAGACTTGTGGTGGAAAGTCTCATTACCAATGAAGATGTGTTGTTCTGAAGTGCAAGAGGAGATAAAAAGAGAGACTGGGGATGACACTTGAATGCTTTTAAAGATAAAAAGGTGGCTTCTAATGAGAAAATGAAGGAGAAACATGCAAGATACTTGTGTCTCGCTAGAGAGGATTCAAAAAATATACTACCTGCTTTTGTGATGGTTGGATAAATCGAGAAATGAAGGAAGTGTCTGTCTTCATGAAAGCAATTTAACAAAATCTATCTTGAGACACAGCAACTTTGAGTGAAGAAGTGGATGGAAAGACCCAGCATTTCCCTAAAGTTTAATGAAAATAGGAGCAAAACATCAAGTCAACGAGCTCTACTTTGTCTCTATGAGTTGGTATTAAAAACACCCTGTATCAGCGAGAGAATTAACAATGTGTGGTAGAAACACTGCACCATCTATCTTTAAGTTCTTGTCATTTCTTCCTACAAGGATGCCTTGACATTTTGGATTGTGGAAAAACATAACTGTATTGAAAATGTTAGCTTGGTTAGTGTTTATCATTGAAAGTCCTGGTAAGTTTTCGTTGTTTTCTTAGTGTCAGTGTGTCCCGTTTGATCCTCTTGAAGAGAAGAAGCAGCAGCACTGGCTTCCTAACAGTAGACAGCCGGATGAATGAAAAAGTGTATTGCTCACGTTTGGCGCATACTCATTCCTCCAAATGGAACTAAAGTGATTTGGACCTATGGCCTTTCTTTTTTCCTTCCTCTTCTTTTGCTCTGCTTTTGCTTCATAGCTCTCCCTTTTGCCCCGTCGCTGAATTATAACCACACAGCAACCTCAAACCGCCTTCTTCTTCTTCTTCTTCTTCTTTTTTTTTCTTTTTTTGTGGTGTGATGATGTGTAATTGCGCCCGGCGATGAAGCGGGCGGAGCTGCAAATTAACAATCCTTCAATTCTCTCACTTCTCCACTTGCCACGTGTTGAAAACCTGATAGGAAATGACACTTAAAATTCAGTGAGAGTCTATTTAAAGGAAGCGTTTTTCCAGTTCCTGAAACAGCATCTTTCCAAGTGAAAATTTTGCTTCTGACACAACTTACAAACATAGAGCAAGAAGTATTGTGCCAGACCATCTGTCAGACATGAACACACAGTATTTACCAGTAATTGTCAGGCAGCTTTAGCCGTCATACTTTGCTGTAGTGGCAGATGCCGAGGGGAGGGACACCCTCGTTTGACTTGAAACGCAAATACGTGAGGCCAGTACTGTTTTTTGTTTTGGTTTGTCATTTGTATAAAGCGGTGCTGTAATTAAGCAGTGTTTTGTTATGAAGGAGATTTTTGCAATGAAAATACTAATTGAAATTCATCATCACTCGCCCGACTGCAATTCAACAAAATGAAGCACACTGATAATTTCAAGGCCCATCTCTGTTATTGGCCTGAGTGGGATAATTGGGCAAGTTTTAATATCAAGTCGAATCCCAATTGCTTTGCATCGGTGCTTTGCCTCTCCTTCTGTAAACATGTTTGGAAGTCATGTATCTGTCACTTGTGTTGATGCCACTTAATCTAACTGTGAAACTGGAGGAAGTGATGATAATTTCAAGCCCAAAGGCCAGTCTGTATTTCATATCTTAACGTCTGCCTTCTGCAGTGAAGATGAGATTTGTCCCTGACTAGAGCAGGTGACAGATTACAGAGGTTTTTGAGTTTGCTGTAATGTTTTGATGCCGTAAAAGCAGTGTCCATGATAGAAATCATCTGTCCATGCTTTTTTATTTGTTGTTAAACTAGTGCCATTTGAAAGGGTGGAGGTGTAAAATGAAGGCTTTCTGCATGTACCCCCACCTGCTACTACTCACCTTTACTCATTCCTCCCCCCATTTTTGTCGGGGGGTTCACTGAGTAGTGAAGACCCACCCGGCTTGAAGACCTTTTTGGCTTTTTTTTGGTTTGGTTTCTTTTTTTGTAAAGCAAGGACAGTTGCTGGGTGTAAATCAAATTGATGTAACATAAAAATAGCATCAGCATTTTTCTAATGGATTATGTTTTCATGTTATCTGTTTTCTTTATTTACATTGTCTAACCATAGACTAACTCTTATCAGACTAACCTGATGAAAACTTGTGACCCTTCAGTGATCTGTGACAGCTGCTTTTTTAGCATCATGATTAAAATGTGTTGGGTTTTTTTGGTTTTGTTTTGGGTTTTTTTTTATTGTCATTGCTGTAAAGTATTTTCTATATGGTTTATGCATGGTGAAGTTAAATTATTAAATATGACTTTAAGTTGGTCGTCTGAATTTTGGGTTTTAATTCATTTGAGTATGGATGTGTCCAAGAAGACCTGCTGAAGTTCAAACTGAGCACCATAATGGGGAAGAAAGGTGATTTAAGGCCAAATTGGTCCGAGTGTTTCACAAACTGCTCATCTACTGTGATCTTCCCACACAACCGGTGGTTTGAAAAAGAGAAAATATCCAGGGATTAGCAGTTCTCTGGGTGATGACAGATGGTAGCGGTCATAGGGGAATAGCTAGACTGTTTTGAGCTGATAGAAAGAAAATAGTCAAGTATTCATTTGATTTAATGGGGGCATTGCAGTTTAACATGGTAATGATACAGAGTATGAAACTGCTGCACAGAGATTTTAAAGTTGTTTTTTTTTTCATTTTCAATCCTTATCCATAGTTGGGCTAATAAACTACTAATTGTAGTATAATTAATTAAATCAAGTGCAGCTCTGACTTACTTTTGACAAACCTTTGACAACAACGGTTGTTTGTAATAATGTAATAATTGTTATACCACATTCTGTAACAATGCTGTTGAATTAATGTAACAGATCCCTTTATACAGTATTTCTGATGACTTTTTGAATTTCCCTGGAACGTAACCAGTTTGCTGTATCTGTGTTATGAGCAGTGACAAGACCTGGAAACAAAACCTCCCTCTTAAGTTCAATATTTCTTTTAGTATAATTTTAATTTTCAAAAACCAATAAATGTTTATTAACATTTTTTAACACTGAGACAATATTGTATACTGTGGCTAAACAACATTTTTAAGACTTCCAAAATGCCTAAACTATTTTAAAGCATTTTCTTTTTAAATTTTGCTCCATAATTTTCTAAATTAAATAATACATGGTAGTTTTAGACATCAGTGTTTTAAAAAAAGATAAATGAATCAATAAAAAATAAATAGTAAAAAAGTGAAATAACTAAGTTTGTAAGATAAAATAATGGACTTTGATACGGTAGTTACTTCTGTTTTTAAGCGCTATGCAGCAAAACTTCATGTTCGGGCACGCCTTGTACTTTTTCACACCACGTGCTCATGACTTGGCTCGAGCGTCCTCCATTTGCTGCTCGAACTGGTCGTGATGCGGGTTTTTACTCGGACACACCATAGCAAGACTACCACTATATAACCACATGAATTTAGGTTGCCTAGAGAAGCATAAAAACTAGTTATTTCTATTTATATTGTTAAAGCAAACCTCAGTGGAAATAGAGTCTGGAGAGGAGTTTACTAGCGGGTGACTGCACGGACTTCGGACATGTGCGTCGAGGAAAAAAAGCGCAGACGATGTTAACTACATGACACAAGGTGAGGCACTGTAGGGCTAGAATGAGGACGCTTGTATTGTTTTTTGTGAATTTCCTCTGTTAAGTTTAAAATAACGTGTTTTTGTGCAGATATTGTTAGCTTGAGGTGGTGACTAGCGAACAACTAGCCACTAATACTAGCCTACCTACTACCTGCTCATTAGCATCAGCATGACGCCTAAATTACAGTTACTTGGTTATTAACACCAGTGCAAATTTGCTTCTTTTTAAGCTGCTGGATATGACTGTTTTAATAAACATATGTGAAAGGGTTTTGTTTGGTGTGCTAGCTGTCAGCAGGTTTAACATTTTTTAAGTTTGAAGGTAGTTGCCAACTTCTTAACCGTCACTGTGGCGTGCCAGAAGCACAGTGCACAGTCAGCTGGGTAAATATGCACTGCATGTTCATATTTTTATAATAAAAATGCACTAAAATGTTGGTATGCAGTTTATGCATAATGCTTTTATGAAGTAAGAAGGTTCTACTTCACCCCTTTGGAAAATAAAAAGAACTACATGTGCCAATGCGATACAATATAATGCAATACAGTACAACTTTATTTATATAGCACATTTAAAAACCAGAAAGTGCTTCACAGTAATGCCAGGTGTGCTCTATTCTAATTTTGAAAATGTTAATGTTTTATAAAGGATTTTTGTTTGTTTATTTATTTTTATAAGGCAACATTTTATAATTGGCAACACTTGTTGCCAATTGATCTTCACGAAATTCCAGTATCCAATTTTACCTATTTATGACAGTGCCATAGTAGCTTTAGCTCCGCTGTGTGTAAAAAACCTTCTTGTTAACTGTAGTGGCAAGCCTCGTTGGCGCAGTAGGCAGCGCGTCAGTCTCATAATCTGAAGGTCGTGAGTTCGAGCCTCACACGGGGCAGAATATTTTGTTTACATCCATATGAACAGAATCGACTTTATGGCACTTTGAGTACATTTTAGAGATATGTTTTATAGATAAATGAATTTCACAGCTACTGTGTCTTGTAGTTTAAAAATTTTAGTTTGCTTGGATTGGATATCAGTTTTAGTATTAGTCTTCCTATCATCTAAAACTATGCTAAAGCGTAAGTGTGAATTTTGAAACACTAGGGGTTGAGGTTAAAGCTGTAAGCCCGGCTAGCTCAGTCGGTAGAGCATGAGACTCTTAATCTCAGGGTCGTGGGTTCGAGCCCCACGTTGGGCGTAAATCTTTTCCTCATTTGCCCCTCTTCCTGTTTGTCTTCTTTTGTAATTTTGATGTCCAGTGTTTGGACGCTAGAAAGTTTACATGTCATTTTCAGTGGGAAACCACTGAAAGACATGAGAGACATTGTTGATGTATGCATGTTAATTCAGCAATTCGATAAGGGGCATCTGTGAGCATTGGTGGTTCAGTGGTAGAATTCTCGCCTGCCACGCGGGAGGCCCGGGTTCGATTCCCGGCCAATGCAACAGTCTTTTTAATTTTTTTTTAGTCGATAAATTAATTTCTATGTTCCCTATGTTCTTTGGGTACACAGAAGCATTTTCTTTAATTTTTTATGTTGCTTTTATTTTGGCTTAACTGTTAATATTACTGACCCTAATTGTACTTGTTTGTTTGAAGGCATCAATAAAATAAAAGAGACAAAAATACTTATCAGCCTTACATTTTCAAATTCTTAACCTTTCCAATTTGCTTCCCGGTTTTAGATATCGAAAATTTCTTGGTAATTTGACTTTTGTGGGTCCATTGGTGTGTTGCATCCTAGGCCTCGTTGGCGCAGTAGGCAGCGCGTCAGTCTCATAATCTGAAGGTCGTGAGTTCGAGCCTCACACGGGGCAGGATCTTTTGACACACACATTTCTTGTTTTTGCAAATGGTTATGCATATGCTTATTTTGTTGTATAATCAACTATTACTTCCAGCACCCCCCATGCGTGGCAGGCTGCTAAGACAGCTCTGCTCATTTCTGAGCTTTTGCGTTTAAGTCAACCTAGGATGAGTTGTTTTAATTTTCATATGGTCATTAGAGTGTCCACTCTAATGCAATGTGCTTGAAAAGCACAAGTGAAAAAGGT